TTGCCATGTGGACACAGGTTACATAATCACAGCCTTCCAGATTACATGTGTAATGCACAAATTACTGGCTCGTGACTATGTGGGATCTGTATGAATTTTGGGGCATTACTTTACAAAGGAAAACGTATGAACAATGCATGAGAACAACCTGTTCTATAAGACCAGGCTGAGTGGACACCCTGCACTTTAACCACAGTTCAGTCAGTGTAATGCCACTGACCTGTGCATGGTTCTGATAATAACGCATGATGCAAGTGATAGTGAAGCAAATAAACATTACTCAGCAGATTAATGAGAAAATAGGTCCAGTCTCTTTAGGGTGGATTTAGTGACATCTAGTGGTGAGGTTGCAAACTGAAACTTCTTCCAGTGCCAAGCCTGCAGGAGAACTATGATGGCCAAGATGAAAAACAGGAAAACATGAATGGCCCTGTCTAGAGTCAGTGTTTTAAACTTCTCTGTCCTGGGCTATGGTAGAAACAACATGGTGAACTCCATGGAAGAGGACCCGCCACGTATGTAGATATAAATGGCTCATTCTAAGGTAACAAATAGACAATGATTATTATTTTCAGGTGATTATAAACTAATCAAAAAGTTATGAATATTCCATTTCTGTGAATGGATGCTCCTAAATCCTACACACTGGACTTTTAATGCATTATTTTCATTAAGTGGTTATATTTATAGAAAAAAAATGAGTAAAGAAAAGCTGCAACAAAAACTACACTTATGTCTCTATTACATTTTTCCTCTTATTTCCTTAAAAAATATTTATATCTACTTGCTTTGTTTGGAATGTCCCTGATGTGTTGGGTGTGTTTCTGTATGAATAAAAAATAAATTTAATGTGATCTGAATCTAAATCCAGAAAGACTCAAGGGACAGGTGTTGCAATAATGTATCTTGAAAACTGGCTTCTGAATATTTTGAATATACCGTAAATTACAGTATTTTGTATGTGTAGGTTTTTCAATATCCATCAGTTGTAGGTATTCCATAGTCTGTATCTTTCTCTTGTCTTGTCATGTGAGACTTTTTACACAACTGTTCAATTGCATTTTTGGTTTGCATGCCTAATTATTCTTACACATGTGGTTATGTATTTTTTTCCACTACAATTTAAGGGGATGGAAAGTCCAGAGACAACATGAAAAACAATATATA